GAACTCAGGGTACTTTTTTGCTGGGCACAGATCTCCCCCCACTGGAAATCAGGCACTGTGGGGAGCAATGTTCTGACATCTCTATACTCACTGTGCGCAATTAGACCTCTGAAGCAAAGCTTTTAAAAACAGGCTGTGAAATTCCCATGTATCTTTATTAAGCCCATTTTCCAACTGAATAGAGAAACTTTTCTAATATTTTTAAATTTTATAAAGACTATTTTTTTTTCCTGGGCCAAGGGAGAGAAAAATGTCCTGGACATCAAAAGCCTAGGTGTAACAGTGCTTTGCTTTTTTTTCTTTTATTTTTTTGCCTTTCAATGATTAAACGTGATTTCATACACTTAGTAATACTGTGACTGTGGCTGCATTAAATAATGCTGGTGGAAAGATACAACAAAAAGCTAAGTATAATGAGGTAACAATTTATTTCTATTCTTTCTCTAAGTTAAAAATTCCCAGTAGATTCAAATAAACAATAAAAATAATTGCAAAATTGTCTCCTGAAACAGAGTTCGATATTGACAGGATTTTCAGAGTGATATTTGTTTCATAATCAAATGAGAGTGAATTGTGTCAAGTGAAGCTTTTTGTAAGGACAGGGTTTTTATTCTTACTGTTCTGTGGTTTTCCTGACTATGCATGCTTAGTATCTGTCTCCCTTGGGTGGACTTCTTTGATGAAGTTGATATAAATATTTGCTTTGAAGCATCCATCAAACCCTCACCCCTTCCTGGTCCCAAACCAACAAGCTACATTTTAAAATAGTTTGAAATATCCCCCACAGTATTAGCGTATCCTGACATTTCATTCTTTCCATAAGAACCTAAAAATTTTCCTTGATAGTGATGTCATCACTCTGTAGGATTTTTTGTGCTGCCACATTGCTAATCTCTTTGTGAAGGAGACCCATGTATTGGCACAAATTCACCATCTGATTCTCTCACTGATTAGCACACTCTTACCAATATGATGAATGAAAAACAGCCAAGATCCAGGGCCGTGGCTCAGCCTCATGGGGAGCAGAGCAGTAACAATCAAATGAAGACATGTTGAGATGTAATTTGATTTCCTTGCTGTGGGGATGGTCTAAAAAACACAGCTTTACTGCTCACTGGTTTATCTTTTCTTTCTACCCATATAACCAGTGTCCTATTCCCGATGAGTAAGAATTGTAGATAGGTGTAGGTGTAAGTAAATGGAAAGCCACAGATATTGCTGTGAACTTTCAGATGTGCTAGAGAACTTTCAGGCAATGTGAACTCAGGGTACTTTTTTGCTGGGCACAGATCTCCCCCCACTGGAAATCAGGCACTGTGGGGAGCAATGTTCTGACATCTCTATACTCACTGTGCGCAATTAGACCTCTGAAGCAAAGCTTTTAAAAACAGGCTGTGAAATTCCCATGTATCTTTATTAAGCCCATTTTCCAACTGAATAGAGAAACTTTTCTAATATTTTTAAATTTTATAAAGACTATTTTTTTTTCCTGGGCCAAGGGAGAGAAAAATGTCCTGGACATCAAAAGCCTAGGTGTAACAGTGCTTTGCTTTTTTTTCTTTTATTTTTTTGCCTTTCAATGATTAAACGTGATTTCATACACTTAGTAATACTGTGACTGTGGCTGCATTAAATAATGCTGGTGGAAAGATACAACAAAAAGCTAAGTATAATGAGGTAACAATTTATTTCTATTCTTTCTCTAAGTTAAAAATTCCCAGTAGATTCAAATAAACAATAAAAATAATTGCAAAATTGTCTCCTGAAATGGACATAGATTTTATTCCAAAGCATTAGCAATTTCTTGTTATTTTTCAGAATCAGCCACTAAGCCTTTTAAAGCTTCTTGGTAACTGGCCATTGAAGGATAAATCAGAATATTACTCTTATAGTTTTATTTCAGGGTTCACTGATAGTAAAGGGACCTTTGGTTGTGTCATTGTTCAAGGAGGGGGTGGGCACCTCTAGATCTGGAACCACACTCCCCAATGAGGATGTAGTAGGGGAGAGAGAGGTTAATTTTCACTATGGGAAATTATATTTATATCAAATATAAAATAGGTTGAAGTCATTTCAAATTTTGTTATAGTTGTTGTCAAGTTTACCTTCTGAAGTTTTGGTTGGTACCAATATTTTAAAACAGGGTTTTGTGTAACAACTTAGGTCACTCCTAATTTATGGCAAAAATTTTTCATGGTGGAACATGTAACAGTATTTTAAAGTTTAGCTCTGTTTTAAACAGCCGAGCATTTGGGATGCTATTTTAACATTGGTAATGATTTTTTTTAAAAAAAAATATCTTCCAGTAACTCTTGCAAGTTACATGCTGACTTAAAGGGAAAAGAAGCATAGTCCTGAATGTAGCGGAATAACTGTCCTCACCCAGAACGTTCTGCCCTCTTTAGCTACCCTTACACCCTTTACCAGCACTCTGCCCAGACAAGCAATAGACTGTGGCTTCAGAAGAACTCAACACAAGCAGCATCTATAGATTTTTTTCTTTATTTAATGCAGGGTTTGAAGGCTTTTTTTTTTTTTTTCCTGTTAACCAAAGAATAAAAAAGTTTTCAACTCTTAAAGGTGCAAAACATTTTTCATTCTTATGCAACAGTTTTCTTCCTACTGTACTATAGTCTATGGATGCTAAAGTATAGATTGCAATTTAATATTAATACTTTTTGAGTTCTTTACATTGGGGGTTGTTTGGACACCATTTTGGGTAAGCCTAGGGAGCTCGGCACAAAGACATTGATAACTCAGAAAAGGCATTCACCTGCAAATTAAAAACACAAGGTCAGTCAAATTGTGTGCACCTCTTATGCTTTCAGTGTGACAAGGTCAAAATCATCAGTAGTGCATATTTACAAGTGACTCTGGTCTACCATGCCTGCCTTATCCTTTCTCGTACTCATTTAACTTTTTTCTTTTTTGGATCTGAATCTTTGACTTTTTTCGCCCTCAAGATGAAAACAAATTTATATTCTTATGTTTTCTTTCTGTGCACTGCCCTTCAGATCTTATTTTGTCATTTATCAACTTAGTGTTGAAACTTTTAGCAAAATAAAGTTAGTCATTTAACTTTGAGTTTGGATGCACTTTTGCATGTAGGTGCATTTGTGTGTATGTGAGTTTAAAAACATTGGAGTTCCACTTGAATGAAGTAAACTAAACATTTGAAACCATCAGCCAAATGGAAACATTGTTTTTACACTTTTTTATATATGAAGACATATTCTAATTTTTTAGAAAAATCAAATGAGAAAACTCTAAACAATTAATTGAAGATTATGGCACTGCTCTGAAACTTCATAGTGTCTGGTCATAGAAATCTAGATTGCTTTGGGAGGAAAGGATACTTAGAAATTTGGCACATATTGGGAGGGAGAAAAAGGGAAACAGAAGGATGAAGAAATAAAAAAAACAAAAAGACTTTAGTTTTAGATTGATAGACGCATACAAAGTCTTTAGGTATTTGTTTTTACTTGCTGCTGCATTTTCTCAACATTCTGCAAACAGATATTGTCTACTTCTTATCAAGCTCCCCTCAAAAAAAGTTATTATTATGGCAACTATTGCCCAGTTTCCCAGGAAAAACCTAGTGTCAGCAATAGCAGAAGAATGAGATGTGATTGTGAGACCGTGAAGTTTATGCAAGCACTTAGGTAAGCAAAGAGATATTTATACACAAAAGAGGCAGCCTTTGTTTTTAAGGAAAATGGTGAATTAAAAGTTCAAAGTAAATAAGTGCCTTATTTTTCCAGTTAATATAATTATCATGGAATGCACATTTATACTCTAAATGCATATAGAACATTTTGCTGACCCACTGTGTGGCAAACAACCCAGTTAAAAGCATGACTTTGATATTTATTTTTACTAGAACATTTGTCGCTTTTTCAGTTCCTTTCAGAGCTCAATATTAGTAGACAAGAGTTTGATAATCAAAGTAGAAAATGATTTAAATTGCAGAACTGTATATGAAACACTTCTGTTCCTTGCCCCTTGAACTTTCTGGGAATGAAAATGTCTAGCCCCCTCCACCTTCTTTTCTCTCCTGGAACTTGAAGGGTAATTTGAAGCCTGTTCCTCATTAAAGTACCTGGCAGCCTATCTCTTTACAGCTTTAGTTACAAAGCTATTCAGAGAACTCACCAGCCTAAAGATATAGAACAATGATGTGTTTAAATAGAGTAGAGTTTAGGCTATTAAAAAAGAAAAAACACTGAAAATTGTAAAGTGGTTCTTTCCTTCCTCTTGCTTCGCTGTTGAGATGGAAAGAGAATTGAGTTGCTGAAAGTCCTCGCCTTAGATCCCGGACAGCGGGGTGTGTGTGTGTGTTGCCTCCATCCTACAGCAGGTAGCTTGGTTGAAAGAGGTTGATCGAGGTCGAGACTGGCAATAACAACACATGTTGTTTACAAAATGATGGAGGAAACAAAGTCAGATTTTGAAGACCTGAATTCTAGTATATTTCTTAAGGCGGGAGAAAGAAGAGGAAGGTTGTGGGAGGCTCCTCATCTGGTGTTTACAGAACTTGGATGCTTGAAAACTGGGGCATCAGGCTCATTGTTCCTGAAGCAGGAATCTGTAGTGGAGGAAGCAGGTGTTGTGTGATGACTGCCATGCGATGAAATTACCCCATGACTATTTTGCTCTTTTGAGTTTGGGTCCAAAAGAGTCAGTAGGCTTTTGGGAAGATGCTGTCTCTTTTATCTATAGACTAACACCAAGTCAATCACTTGCAAGGGAAGGAGAGAGTGCTTAAGTAAATTTGGAACCAGAGAGAATACACGCAGCAGTGTTTCGGAATCCATTTTTCTTTATTTCTTTTTCTTTTTCCTTTTGGCTTTCAGCATCCCATACTTTCAGAAAACTTGTGACTAAGAGTGAATTCTTATTTTTCAAATCGTTTTCAGACATTTCATGTTCATGTAAACTTGGCTTATTGATTTCCTGATTTTTCTTTATTTTTTTGTTTTGTCCATTTTATTTTTAATCAGCTACATCAAATGGGTCTTTGGAGGGCCTGGATAACCAGGAGGGAGGGGTGTGCCAGACAAGAGCCATGAAGATCCTCATGAAAGTTGGACAAGGTAAAGACCATCTGCTGCTTCGGGAAGCCACTGGGACTGGTTTAGCCCCCAGCTAGCGTGCTACCATTGTTGAGGACACTCACCTTCATTCACTCTTCTCTTTAGTTTTGAAACCAAACCCTTCTCTGCACCTTGAGCCACTGACAGATTTCCTCAAGTCAATGTAATAAGCTTCTTTTATTGGAGATCTCTCTAAAAGTTAAGCTCAGCCAGGTAGAATGTCTATGGCAATCTATAGCTTGACTCCAGAAGAGTTTTGTTCCTTGTGCCTTTTCACATATAGATAACCTATTGTGCAGAAAGGAAGAATTATTCTTGTAATTGGAAATTGGTAAAGTAGTCAATCAACTTGCTCAGTTAAATTGAAATGTCATCTGCGATGCTTTGCCTGCCAAATGCAAGAATCCCTATAGTTTCCACAGATGGCCTCACAATCTAAACCTCTGAAATAACTAGCATAACCGTTTTGTTCTAAAAGGAAAATTATATTCTTGTATTTCACAGTACTTTGCATAAAGAATCTTATGTTCATTGCTATTCATGCCTCTTGAGATATATATGCATCTCCTAAGCTAGATATCATCAGATGTCGGTGCTGTAATTAATCGTTTGTTTTCCATATAGATGCGAGTTCCGCTGGATCAACCAGGAAAAATGATGCAACAAGACGTCCAGAACTAGAAGCTGGTACAAATGGAAGAAGTTCAACGACAAGTCCCTTTGTAAAACCAAATCCAGGTATAGCAGCATGATCTGTGTTCGTAGGTCTGTGTGTACCACATTCCTAGTAGTATCTTAAGAGGTAGAACAGGGTGAAAGTAACTAGTAGTTACAGACATCAGTAATCTTTGCTCTCAATGAGTTGTTATTAATTACCCTCAATAAAAACAAAATAATTCATTCCCATGAAAGTCTTACATTCGAAAGAGTAGAGTTCATCAGATGTAAGTGCTAGTTATTAGTACAACTCTTTCCGACCAGTTTTTATTGGCTGACACTTTATCAAGCTGGTTGTCAACACCAGCTTAAAGCTGATGTTAATGTATATATAATTAATGTTCTAATCCCTCATCTAATTATATCTAATCCACAAAGAGCTTATTTAATCCTCTTCTAAATTTTAGATGGTAACACTTTACAATATTGCATAATGCTCTGCTATTCAGGTGGTTATCATTAATTTTTGTTCACATTTTCCATGTTAAGTAAAATATTAAATGGATCCCTGACAATAGTTTAGAATACCAGACAAAATTGGCTGTCATTGAACCTCATTTTCTTAACAGTCTTGGAACAAATAGCTATGTATTTGTTACTATGCTAATGGATTTTTTATGTAGTAGTTGTTGAGCAGACGTCAGCAGTTTTGTATTAGAGATCTGTATGCTTGGTGGGGATTTGTGTGAATTTAGCATCTGCAGCAATGCTCTGTCTCTTTCCAAGAGTCAAGGAGGGAAGTTGTTATTTCTAACTTTCAATGACAAGATGTGTCAAATTCTTGTGACAAACTGATAAATGGATAATATAATGATGCCAGACAATTTTTTAGTGCTTAACATTTGGGTTGGCAGTCTGTTCGGCGTGAGAGTTTCTGCTGCCTTCCAAATGTGTTTTAAGTGTAAGTCAAATAATACAAACGAGTTAGGAGCTGAACATTTTCCCAGGCCCCATGCCTCCTTCCTGGATCCTGGGCTGTCCTGCCAGTAGGCAGGCTCTTCCTCAGAAGCCAGGCCATTTGAGGATCCACATGACACCCGTCTCTAATGGGAAGCGGAAGGGCAGTGGCTGATGAATGCTGGCCTGTGACCTGCAGCACCGGCCACGGCTTTTCTTGCTCCTGCTGTGACCCCAGGACTAGCTGTCCCCATTCAAAAATGAGGCAGGATCAGGGGCTGGCTGTCACCAAGGGTCGTAGTCTTGATGGATGATGATGAGGTATGAGAAAGGAACAGTGTGGTCAGGCTCAGCATGACAGGCTGGCCTGGAGGTGCGTCTCGTTTCCTACCGATTGCATTGGTCCTAACGAGGTAATTGGCTTGTCAGAGTCTGGCTGCCAGTTAAGTCTTTGGCCCTGCTGCCGTGTCACGTGTGGAAGGGTCATAAAGCAGCCCGTCAACACTGGTAACTGTTCCTGTCCTTGTCCCTCTTGACGTCGCAGGTTCTAGCACCGACGGCAGCAGCGCCGGGCATTCGGGGAACAACATCCTCGGTTCCGAAGTGGCCTTATTCGCAGGGATTGCTTCAGGATGCATCATCTTCATTGTCATCATCATCACGCTGGTGGTGCTCCTGCTCAAGTACCGCAGGAGACACCGCAAGCACTCGCCTCAGCACACGACCACGCTGTCGCTGAGCACGCTGGCCACGCCCAAGCGAGGCGGCAACAACAACGGCTCCGAGCCCAGTGACATTATCATCCCCTTAAGGACCGCGGACAGCGTCTTCTGCCCCCACTACGAGAAGGTCAGCGGGGATTACGGGCACCCGGTGTACATAGTGCAGGAGATGCCCCCGCAGAGTCCCGCGAACATTTACTACAAGGTCTGAGGAGAGCCTGGCGGTACCTTCACGTTCCCAGAGGAGACGGACTGTCCCCATGCCTCCTGGGGAGGGGCCAGGAGCCAGTGTGCTGCCGATTGACTGAAGCACAGCCCCCGAGGAGAGGGGACACTCCTTCCCGCAGAGCCCTGCTGAGCTGGACAGCTGACCCGGCCTGGGTGGGCACAGACGGTCACTGAAGCTGGGGGCTGTGTGTAGGGGATACCATTGGGACTGCTGGTACATTAGGCGTCTCATCCCGAAGCCACGTGCTGCCCGAACTCAGGCCGCGTGAGTCCGGGAAGACAGTGGTTTGTGGCCGCAGGGGCAGTGAGCTCCCTGGGAAAGCGCCCTGGCCACCCCAGAATGCCACGCTTGCAAGACCGGCTCTGCCTCGGGCGTGTCCCCCCGAGGTGCCTACTGGACTTGTCACACGGACCTCGGGCTCCGTAAGGTTTTCAAATCTCTCTAGCGTTTAGTCCTCACTGTGGCACTCCTGTCTGCAGCACCTCACCTGAGATTTCCTCCACTCCACATTGTGCATCACGAATGAACACTGAGGCCTGGAGTCCCCTGCTCCAGCGTTTGCGACCACAGCTTCAGCTGAGCGGGTGACCCATTTCTAGAAATCATTTTTGCTGATAAGGTGCCCTCCAGCCAGATGCTAGGCTGTCAGCCCAGGGAAACTAGGAGCTGGGGGGCGGGGAAAGGGCTGGCTGCAGAAGCAGGCCAATGCAGCTGCCTCTGCAATGGGAACTTGGGCAGGAAAAAGACGTAAAACATTAGGTAGCACAGCACTTTGGTCTTGCTGAGATTGAAGAGGCAAGTAGGAGACACGGTAACACACACAGTGGATCACGGTGCATTGGGAGGAATTCACTGTTATCTAATAGCAATGTGCAGGAAAAAAAAAATTCCCTCTTCGTCCCGTGGAACAAAGGGGGTATTGTTGGTAAAGGAACGGGCTGGGAGAGAAGGGAGAAAGTAGGCCGCTGATGATCCATTCGGGCAGGACTGTTGTGGTACTGGCAATAAGATCTACAGCTCGAAGCTGTAGGAGAGTCGGTCTGCTTTGGATGATTTTTTAAGCAGACTCAGCTGCTATACTTATCACATTTTATTAAACACAGGGAAAGCATTTAGGAGAATAGCAGAGAGCCAAATCTGACCTAGAAGTTTAAAAGCCAGAGGTCAAACAGGCTGTAATTCCATCATCATTGACGTGATTAAAGACTTCTCATATATAAAAGGTAGGTCAGATTCCCCGTCTCCCCACAGAGGCCCCCTTCCCCGCCCCCCCTCCCCAGTCGGGCCTTATGACACTTTGGTTGATAGCGGTGCTGTCCGGCATCCGCCTTGGCCGTACAGCAGGAGTGCTGCTGCGCTCCCAAGCGGCGCACTGTAGCAGTGCACATTTTATTAAACACAGGGAAAGCATTTAGGAGAATAGCAGAGAGCCAAATCTGACCTAGAAGTTTAAAAGCCAGAGGTCAAACAGGCTGTAATTCCATCATCATTGACGTGATTAAAGACTTCTCATATATAAAAGGTAGGTCAGATTCCCCGTCTCCCCACAGAGGCCCCCTTCCCCGCCCCCCCTCCCCAGTCGGGCCTTATGACACTTTGGTTGATAGCGGTGCTGTCCGGGCCGCGAGGGCTGCAGGGCCGCTACTGCCGGAGCCACGGCACCCGGTGCCCTGTGTCCAGGTAAAGCACATATGGCGAACCTCTTAGAGTCCTTAAGACAGAAGTAAATTATGATGTCGAGGGGGAGAAGGAAAATAGCATGTATTTATAATAGGTATATAGAACACAAGGGATATAAAATGAAAGATTTTTACTAATATATATTTTAAGATTGCACACAGTACACACCAGAAGATGTGAAATTCATTTGTGGCAATTAAGTGGTCCCAATGCTCAGTGCTTTAAAAAAATAAAAATTGGACAGCTACTTCTGGGAAAAACAACATTACTCCAAAAATAACTATAATGAGAGCAAATAGAAAAATAAGGGAGCCCTCTGAAGGCATCTCACGGAATCGTAGACTAGGAGACACAAGCCCCAACACCAGGAGATCAGTGCTGCTGCATCATGTACTTAGCAACGACAAGATGTTCTGGCATTTCTTTTCTGTGTCGGGGTCTCCCTTACCTTACAGCTGAAGTGTTCGCTAGCAGCCAGCAGGTCACACGGGGGCTGCAGTTGAAAGTTTCCTCTGGCTTCCTCCTCTCCTTCCCCCACCCCGTCCCTTCTGGGAAACAAGAAGAGTAAACAGGAAACCTACTTTTTATGTGCTATGCAAAATAGACATCTTTAACATAGTCCTGTTACTATGGTAACACTTTGCTTTCTGAATTGGAAGAAAAAAAAAATGTAGCAACAGCATTTGAACGTTCTCAAACCTCCAGTGAGTACCTGCAAAAATGAGTTGTCACAGAAATTATTATTCCCTATTTCCTGAACCTGAAAATGATGTTGGTCCAAAGTGCGTGTGTGTATGTATGAATGGGTGTGTGGTATCCATGTGTACATATATGTATAATATATATCTACAATATATATTATATATATCTATATCATATTTCTGTGGAGGGTTGCTGTGGTGACCAGCCACAGTACATATGTAATTCTTTCCATCACCCCAACCTCTCCTTTATGTGCATTCATGCAAGATTTTCTTGTAAGCCATCAAAAGTTACTTTTAGAATGGGGGAGAGGGGCGCGAGGGGGAAAAATGGGAAATAGTCTGATTTTAATGAAATTCAATGTCCGTGTCATTGGTTGGCTACATTTTGGTCATATGCTAAACTGTGAAAAATCAGATGAACTGATGAAGAGTTACCTGCAACCAATTGAAAATTGTTCTGTGTGTCTGTCTTGTGTCTGGTGCAGAAGATGACAATCTACCAACTGTCCCTTCATTTGAAGTTGGTTCAGCTTTGGAAAGTTACTGTAAATGCCTTGCTTGTATTATCATCCCTAGTCACCTGACTTTGGAATTTGCACCATCATGTTTAAGTGAAGATGCTGTAAATAGGTTCAGATTTTACTGTATATGGATTTGGGGTGTTACAGTAGCCTTATTCACCTTTTTAATAAAAAAATACACATGAAAACAAGACAGAAATGGCTTTTCTTACCTAGATTGTGTACATAGAGCAATGTTGGTTTTTTACAAAGTCTAAGCAAGATGTTTTGTATAAAATCTGAATTTTGCAATGTATTTAGCTACAGCTTGTTTAACGGCAGTGTCATTCCCCTTTGCACTGTAATGAGGAAAAAAATGGTATAAAAGGTTGCCAAATTGCTGCATATTTGTGCCGTAATTATGTACCATGATATTTATTTAAAATTTCGTTGTCCAATTTGTAAGTAACACAGTATTATGCTTGAGTTATAAATATTTTTTTCTTTTTTTGTTTTATTTTAATAGCCTGTCATAGGTTTTAAATCTGCTTTAGTTCCACATTGCAGTTAGCCCCCAGAAAATGAAATCCGTGAAGTCACATTCCACGTCTGTTTCAAACTGAATTTGTTCTTAAAAAAATAAAATATTTTTTTCCTATGGAAAAAGTGCCTTCCAAGTATTTTCCTTTCCTTCTTTTTATTTCTTTTCATTTTTTTCTTTTTCATTTCTTATTTTAAGTTGCCTCCTTCTATGCTATTTCTCCAAAATTACAGTTATCCAGAGACTTCTGCCCATGGACATTTATGTGCCCCTTTTCAAATCAGGACATGCACATAATGTGAACATTAATTTTGCCAAGAGCCATAAGCCCATTGGCTTCCCCATAAACCTACTGAACTCACATTTCACAAATAATGTTTTATAAAAAGTTTTATAAAATCCTAATCATCCTGAACAGTAAATGTCTCTAGTTGCACCTGAATTACATAGTCAGAATTAGTCGCCTACGAAGTTAGCTGTAAGAGGAAAATGTACTCTTACCTTACACTTCATTCCAAATGGATCGAGTTTCCATTTAAGCAAAGCGGTTTGCTGTTGATGGCTTCATTTTTCTTCACAGAATAATCCCAGGGGGGAGGATCAAGTCAGATGTTCTTTGTAAAACTTTAACGTTGATGAGAGCACATTTTGGCACAGGGTTAAGGCAAGCCAGAGGCCAGTAGTGAGTTTAACCACATTTTCGGTGATCACCTTTCTGGGGAAGGTGGCTGTCCTGAGGATTGGCAGGGCTTTCCTGGTCTCTTAGGGTCTTAAGACTGATCGTCCCACTTCCTGGGGAGCTGTTTAAGCTGCAAGAGTTCCACCCACAGGGGAGAACTTCATCAGCCTTGGGATACGGGTGCTAAAATCTCTACCTATATTATCTCAGGTAAGGAGTGAGATAGTTTAGGTAGGGAGGATAAGAAAGGCCCCTGGAGTCAAGAAGCAGGCCAGAAGATTTTGCAGGCCTGACTTGCCCAGGATCATACCTCCAGTAAGTGGAAGAAGCCATATGTTTCCAGAGCTCCCCAGGAGCTTCTCATGAAAGGCTGGTGTGGGAACCAGGGATCTATGCAGCTTTGGTCCAGCACAGTACTCCTACTAAAGAAATATTTGTGGAGTAAAAGCTCTCCTTTACAAAAAATAAAAATAATTCCCTGGAGGCCCATAGTTTTAGCTGATGCTACAATACTGGTTTCATCTGCTCCAGCAGTTAATTCCACTGCCCCTAACTGGCCCTTGGCAGTAGATCCAAGTTTAGGGGCACAATTTACAGCTGAGTAACTAACCCGAGTGCTCAACCCCATGTACCAAGATCACTTCTGATTAGTCTGGGTAAAAGAAAAGAACAGTGAAGTATTGCATTTTCAACCTTTACTTTGTGGCCTTTTATTACAATGTAAATTACCAAACACATCGTGTCATACTTTGTATTTTGTTTTTGAGATTATGCTTTTCGAATTGAGTAAACCAAGCTCAGCTGAGAGAGAAATAAGATGTGTCCAGGAGTTATTCTTTGCCACTGGGGAGAAGAAGCCTTAAATACAGAAGCTCCTCACAAAGCTTGTGTAACCAGCAGCTCATCTTCCTGTCTGAAAGGTAAGCTCGTGGCTGCAACGTCACCGTGCTGCCTCAACCAGTGTGCTCTGAGCCAGCTGTGGGCCGACAGGACTCTTCAGAACAGCTCTCATGGTTGTTAATTCCCTTTTGGGCAGAACAGTTGCCCATTCAAACCCTGTAATAAAAGTTTACAATGGGCTGGCCGGCCCGGTGGCGCACTGGATAAGTGCGCCGCTTGGGAAGCGCGGCGGCGCTCCCGCCCGAGGGTTCGGATCCCACATACAGACCGGTTCCCGCTCACTGGCTGAGTGAGGCGCGGGAGCAACACTGAGGGTTGCGATCCCATTGCCGGTCTCCGGTCCGGTACGGGGGCAACACTGGTACCGGGGGCAACACTGAGGGTTGCGATCCGTTGCCGGACACGGAAAAAGACAAAAAGACAACAACAACAAAAAAAAAAAGTTTACAATGGGAATGAGAAAAAAAATCAATAAAATATCCCTCACTGGGTAACTGCTGTCAGTCTCTGACCCCAACCCAGAAAAGAATTAGCAAAGGAAAAAAAAATCAAAGTCACTTTCCTAGTGTATGTAAAAAAGGACAATTACCCTGCTTTTTTGGCTGGACAGCAAGTAGGTCTTCAGGTGGCTCAAAAGGAGACCTAACTGCTGCGGCAGTACCAAGGTCACTAAGCCGGATGTTCTGCTTGTTTTGTTTTTGTCTTCAACGGATTTGCAATTATGTTTGTGATATTTACACTATAGACTTACTTGAGGGCAAATTTTCAGTGCTGTAATGGAAAAGCTTATTTTCTACGCCTATTTATTACTCTAGGTAGAGAATCATCAGTAATTTGGGATAGGAGGAATTAAAAATATATCTGTATTTGTAATAAAATATAGCAAACCAGATAGATAAATCATTTTTTCAGTGATTAAACTGTGCTCCAAAAGCTAAAGATACATTCAGCTCAAGATTTTTATGCATTGATAAATTGATTAATGGACTCTCTTACAAACAATTATTCATATGAAGTCAATCACATTTTTAAAAACAAACAACTGCCTCATGAAAAATCTTCAGGTATGTAAATATATAGCACAAGGGAAATAGTACTAGTAATACCAACACAGTTTACGGCCAGTTGTCGTTAATAAATGTGTTCAATGAATGAAAGCGGAGACCTGGCTTCTAACTATTTCTGCCACTGACTCCGGCTGTGGCCTTTCAGCAAATCCTTTTATGTTCTGTGCTTCAGCTGCGAAGTGTGAGGGATGGATTCGAAGATATTAAAGGTTGCCTTTGGAGCTTTACAGGATTGGAAGCAAAGCTGTCAGCATTTTCAGCTGTACAAAAGTATCTCGATGCAAGCTGTGTGCGTCCTGGTGTTCCATAGGCAAAGCTCTAAAGACCACTGGGGTGGTTCCCAGTCCCCAATTCCCCCTTTATGCTGTACCTGACCTTCCTCTGACTGCCACCACCAAGACCCCACTTCCAGGGCTCAGAGCTCTGCCACCCTCCACCCCTTCCTAGAATCAAACCCCCAAAAGATCTAATAACTAACAATCGATACGTACTGATTGAACTGGGAGCAGCACTCTTGTGTTTTCAGCCTTTTACCTCTAATTGTTAGGTAGGATCTTTTTTCTTTATTTAAACACATTTTCAGTCACTGCATGCAGGGCCCCAGTGCATTCAACACATTCTTCTACTTAAGTATTTCATAAGGACCCACTATAGGACAGGCGCTGGGTGAGGTGGTGGTGGTTTTCTCTTCTACCAGTTAACTTAGCCCACCCTCACTTACTCTCCCTTGTAGCCTTGAGATTAATGTACTTAGTGTTTAATTCTTTTTGTGCTGGTATCTGGAATACATCCTTATCCCTCTTTTATTATTTATATCTCTGATTTTGTAGTCTGCAGCAGAGAACTGCGTAACTGTCTATTTTAGGTGATAATGGACGATTATTGCTTAACTAAATGCCATTCACGCTTAGTCAAGAGATCAGAGGGTTTCTGTGTGTGTGTATGTGTGTGTTTTGTTTTTGAAGGGATAATGACTCTTTATCTTAAAAAGTCCAAGAACAGTAGGGGAGACAAATGTCATCGAAGAAAATTGCTTGAAATCAACTGGAATCTCAGTCTGAACACTATGAGATTCCTCTTCGGGTGCATCATTTTTGTGCAGTGGCTTCATTAATGCAACATTAAAGAAAGACAAAAAAAAGGAGTAGAGATTAAAGTCTAACTCTAGAATCCATCAGGTAGAACAAAGAAAGAAAAATGCTGTAGGAAGACCTCCCAACTTGCTACATCTTTCATTCCGATCTCTTAATTCTTTATCAACTGAGTAATCTCCGTATCATTCAACCTGCGGAGAAAGATGTGAGATGTTTCTATAAACATAACTCCAGAATTCTTTGTTTAACTTGAGTAACTTAATGCATCTAATTTTGAAGTATAGCTTGGATTCCTTTACATACTTTCCATGAAGTGTAATTTTACTCAGAGAAAGCATACAACTTACTGAATCTGGATCACCTCTGTCTGGAACTGCTGGCTCTTTGCAGGATCCCAGGCAAACCACATAGTTGCTCCTTGACTTAGGCCAACCATCTGGAGTGTGGATTCTTTTGGATACTCTTTGGGACTTCCTAACATTTAATTTGATTACATGCATCTAATTTTGAAGTGTAGCTTATAAAAGACAAATCCAAAAATATTGCTGTAGCTTACCAGCAGAGAACACTTACAGGTTAGCAGAGAGTAATGATACAGAGCCAGGAACAGCACTGCGTTCAGCCTTCCTCAGCAAGAGCCTTTACATCAGACTGGTCCAAGACACTGAAAATGAGCCCACCCAAGCAGACTCTTGCTTATCTACAAGTCTGGAAGCTTCTGTGTAGTGAACACACACACACATATTAATTTGCTCACTTACACAATATGCATCTATTTAACACTTATGCCAGGCAGTGTGCTAAGTACTGGAAATTACAACGTGAAAGACAGGATTTCTCCTATTAGGAAATTCACAGTCCAGTCAGCAATCCAAAAACTCTCATGAATAACAATTAGGCATCTCAAATGCATGTATAAAAAGAAGCAATAATGCTTCTAACCACACTATGTTTTTATGCCTTGAGCGTCTTTTCTAAAAGGTATTTTTCTATTAGTAGTCTTCTTTTCCTCCATCCATATCTTCTGTTACTGTGGGTTAAATTTCTTTCCTTTTAAATCTTTCATTACATATATGCCAACTGGCTGGTTAGGATGCTAAATTTAGTATAACTGTTCTGTTCTTCAGAACGTCTTACGAGTTTGCCTTAAGTGCCTGCCTCTGGCCTTAAAGGGCAAATCGAAAAGTTTCCAATTGGTTTGCAGCCCACATTACAATGTGTATGTGTATTTGAAAGACTGTTTCTTGGCTATAATTGGTAGTTTTCTTGTAGCTGGTTCTGAGGAAAGAATTACAGAGAGTTTTATGTCTGCTAACAGTAGTTAGTGCTGAGCCCAAAAACAGCAGGAAAAAAAATGAAGTCTGAGCATCTGGGATGTTTGCCAA